ACACCAATCATCACAGAAGCCAACCTTGAATCGTAGACCAGGTCCATTAACAATGCACTCATTCCGAGCAGGGGCTCTATGGTACTCATACTGTATAGCCATCTTCTTCTTCTTCGAGTTCACTCGCCATCCGGAATGAGCGCTCGGTGCTTCATAGATTTGATATGGTTAGTAATATCAAATAGTCAGACGTCATTTCAATCAGAAGTGCCGTTTACGTACCACAATTTTTTGAAAAAAATTGAAATGGCTTCTAAATTTTACAAGATCTAAAATGTCCGAATTTTAGGTAAACTGCGAATCAATGTCCATAGCAAACAATTATACATAGTTTCATGCAAATTGTTCGAGTTTTTCCGGTTCATCATTTGGCGTCATTGTAGAGTAAATTACTATAATTCAGTTCCAAAGAAATCATCAAATTTAGACAATTAGGCATTGAGAGCTTTCGATGCCAATAGCAATGCATGAATTTGTATATTATGTGTCAAGCACAATGATACTCTATGCCCAGGGAAGTCGAGAAAATATCCAACCCGAAAGATTCCCTCGACCGGACCGGGAATCGAACCCGCCGCCTCCGGCTTGGTAATACCGTGCCTTTACTGACTAGGCTATGACGCCCTTTTCTACATTCTAATAGTCTTAGAAAGAGTGATGTGATTCTTAGATAAATTTTCCAGATTCTGGTAGGTAGGAACGTTTCCAAGGTTCTTAGATGAATTGAAATATTAGGTTATGCCTTACATCGAAATAGTTGAAAGTTTACAAAGTTAACTAAAAATTCATTGTCTGAATTTTATTATAATTATTTTTTGAAGATTTTCACTGGAAAGGGTGCTAAAAAAATCAGTTTTCTTATTCCAACTTTGTTGCATCAAATTAATCGAAAAAGTGGCCTTCAGAAGAATTGTAGGGACTTCTATTCAAAAGTTATGGGTTAAAATTTAAGCTGAAAAACTGGCAGTCTTCCAATGTTAATATCTCAAGTAGTTGAATAGTTAATTTTAGTCTTGATGCGGTTTTTGGATGGTCACACAAAACGCAACATTTGGGGTTAAAATTACGAGAACAACTTTTTATTTAGTGGGGTAAATAAGCTTTAACAATACCTGCAATTAATTCGAAAATTACGTGTAACTCATAAACGCCTGAATATAGCAACTTGCTGTCTTCAGCAAAAAAGTAGGCTGTAACTACTTTTCCTGAAATCTGAAACATTAAAATTAGATTAAAAACTGATTTTCTTCGAGACACTCTATTAAAAAGCACAAACATAGCTCCTAGCATGGTCAAATGAAGTCTATACGGTGTCTTCAGCGAAGTCGCTTGAAACCAAAGTCGAAAAACATGAAATTCTTCAAGAAGCTATGTCAAAATTTATTACTGAAGTAACGGTGAAGTAACGTTGCATTTAAATGAGAATTCCAGATTTTTCCAAGCAAAAATCAAAGGTTTTTTTTTTTATGAGAGAGAGAGAAGGATTAGTAATTTCCATTTAATTCCACTACCTTATTTGCTTATCCTTGACAGATACGCGTATTTCGTCTACAATGTGCAGACTTCTTCAGTGTCTTTTACTAATACTCGACTTATTGTCGAGTATTACTTATTGTCGAGTATTATACAGGTATTCCACTAAGACGCCCACATTCATCAGGATTCAAAGGTTTTTTTGTTTAAGTACACCGAGATCTCGTTTTTGGAAACTGAAATACTTCATCTATATTGCTAAAATCGAGACCGTGCCAAAATAAAGACCTTTTTCAACGTGTCACAATTGAGTGTTACAATCACTTAACAATAAAACGGAAACGCACTTATTTTGACAATGCTCATGTTTGGCCATTTTTTGACAATATTTAACGTTTTTTACACGCTACGCGGTAAATATACATAGGGTAGAGCGCTACTTCGTCGTAATCGCCCATTTCCGTTCTATCGAGCAGAAATCATTAATAAAATCCATGATTTCACCGTACACAAATCAATAATACGTTTGTTTTGATGCGTTAGCTCATAAGCTACATCACGAAGCCTATACGAGTGCGTTGTATGAATTGTTAAACTCATTATTCTCAAAACAAAAGAAGCGCTTCTAGCAAATCCATTTTTTCGGCCTTCATTCGTAGAACGAAGAAAACCCCTAGATAAACCAATGGCGTTTGAAACTCGTAAAGGGTGATACGGTCAAAATTTGGTCCAGGGAAAACGCGTGTAAATCGGTGAAATCGTTTATTTAAAAAATCAAATTAAATTTCTTTTTCAAGTTCAATTAGTATAAAATTCAGGAAAAATATTCAGTTAGGCTTCCGCTTTTCCAAATCCGAATTGCCGGGCCTTACGCTTGACCCTTGCCATCAGATTTTGTACAGCCACCTTGTCCACCTTCTTCGCCGCAGAAAGCCAGTTTGCCTTGAACTGCTGCTCGCCCTTAGCAGATTTTTTGGTCTTCTTTAGGTTCCGCTTGACAATAGCCCAGTATTTCTCAATTGGGCGGAGCTCTGGCGTGTTGGGAGGGTTCTTGTCCTTGGGAACCACCTGCACGTTGTTGGCGGCGTACCACTCTATGGCCTTTTTACCGTAATGGCAAGATGCCAAATCCGGCCAAAACAGTACGGAACAACCGTGTTTCTTCAGGAAAGGCAGCAGACGTTTATTCAAACAATCTTTCACGTAAATTTCTTGGTTGACAGTCCCGGAAGCTATGAAAATGCTGCTTTTCAAGCCACAGGTACAGATGGCTTGCCAAACCAGATATTTCTTTGCGAACTTTGACAGTTTCATGTGCTTGAAAACATCTGCTACCTTTCCCCTTCCTTTTGCCGTATAAAACTCCTGTCCGGGAAGCTGCTTGTAGTCGGCTTTGACGTAGGTTTCGTCGTCCATTACCACGCAGTCAAACTTCGTCAGCATCGTCGTGTACAGCCTCCGGGATCGCGCTTTGGCCGTCGTATTTTGTTTATCATCGCGATTTGGAGTCACTACCTTCTTGTAAGTCGATAGTCCGGCTCGTTTTTTGGCTCGATGCATGGTTGTAGACGATACACCCAGCTTATTTGCGGCATCTCGGAGAGAGAGGTTAGGGTTTCGCTTGAAACTACCGGCAATTCTCTTTGTCGTCTCAGCGGCTTCCGGTTTTCGATTTCCCCCCGATCCAGACTTCCTGGCTGTCGACAAACGTTCCCCAAACACTTTAATTGCATTTGTAACGGTTGATTTGGCAACTTTTAGCGATTTTGCCAACTTTGCGTGCGAGTAGCTCGGATTTTCGCGATGCGCGAGCAAAATTTTGATACGCTGCTCTTCTTGCTTGGACGGCATTTTGACAACTGAAGAGTGAATTCCAAAATCAAAATAGGAGCAACATTCTACACACACACACCTTCAAAATGAGGGGTGTTCAGGTTTTTTAAATGCAAAATTGAAAGAAATACGTCCAGTTGATATTGACCAAATTTTGACCGTATCACCCTTTAGAACGAATTTGCAATCAAGAAGCATCTTTCAATCTTTCAATCTCAATAATTTGTGACTTTTTATCAAATCCAACGGTACGTATAGAAAGGTAAATAAATTTGGAAGTCATCTATAGTAGAATCACTCCATTTTTGAGTTCATATCCGTTCGAAAAAACAGAGGTTAATTGTTTCCCAAGCATCACACTTTCATCGAAATAAGTTACTGCAACTTGAATGTGACTGGAATAAGTTGCACACAAGTAACTACAATTGCTCAGCGAAAAGTGTGCTGCTAGGGTTATGCTTAGTAGGACGGAAATTAAATTCAAAATCCCATCGTCAACAAAACGCACAAAGTTTGTGATTTAATCGTTTTTCTGAGGTATGACCAAAATAGGCCTTGGCCAAAAAATGGTACATTTACCCTGTTACGTTGAAAATTATTGAAAAAAAAATGCTATTTTAAATTTTTGTGTTGTCAAAAACGAAATTGAGATCCAATTGATCATTTTAGATTGTCAAGTTTTGAACCCACCACAGCATGCTTTTGGCGCTACGGACAATCAAACGTAAAATACTGTGGTAGCCACAGCATAGTTCTGTCAAAACCTCAGCATTTTCATTGATCCATTGTAGTAGACATCCTGTAAGTCCGGCTGATTCGTAATTAGGGTGTAACTGCTTTTGTAAACAATCATATACATCACCGATTTCTCGCAGATAAAGGCTCAATCTCACAAACAAACTATACTAAATGGTAGGGGAATCATACTCTTCCCCCATTCCTTGATTGTGTTGTTAGTTTCCAAGATTGAGCTTTTATTCGCAAGATATCGGCAATTGTTCACAACATCATGTAAGCCCTAATCACGAATCAGTCCGGAAGTGTATTTGACTTAATGTTTGTCTAGTGTAAACATTATGTTCTTCATTGGATTCTATGATCAAAGACTGAATGTAAAATCACTTGCAACCAACCTAACATCGATTCACACACCGCCGTCACCTAAATAGCGTCGTTCTTCCAACAGCCCGGGCGGCGGGCGGCCGTGCACTCGGTCCAGCTCATTCAACTATTCTCGTTTAAATTTTCCCTTCATCCATCCATTAATGACTACTCCGTTTGGAATTCTCCAGCAGTCTCCTTAGAGCTCTCCGCTGCTGTTAGAGCGTGTATGCCTTCCTAGTATTAGTGTGTTAATAACAACATAAGGGGCTGTTCATAAACTACGTAGACTCTTTAGGGGGTGGGGGGGTTGAGCAATTTCTACGGTTCATATAAATTTTCAAAAAAATGTATGGACGATTGTCTACGCAGGGGTCTAAAATCTCTTAAAATTGGTCTACGTAGTTTATGAACAGCCCCTAAGTAAATAAAAACACTTTGTTCTCTCTTTCTCTCTGTCTTGCTGTGGCTCAGAACTACTAATAATTATCTTAATAGCGAAACTCGTACTTATAAATTATCATTAATCTACATAGAAGTTGTTTTCTAGCTATATATTTTTCTTTATTTTTTTTCTCTCTACTACCATCTAGCAAACCGAAACGGCAGAACCTAACTAGCGAGTATACACACACATATAGTACCAAGAGATCGTTTAGTGTTTTCGTAGTGTTTGAAAACTGCAAGTAGTGTGGAAACCAAAGCATACTGTAGTGGAAAATCTGGTAACCAGTATTTATATATTACACCCATCAAAACAAAAACAAACAAAAAAGAGCATCCCGTAGAAAACAAAAAAGAAAACAAACAAACAAAAAATACATCACATAGTAGAAAAATAAGAAAAAATGCTGTTTGAAAATCCCGTGGCGGCTGCAAAAATGTTCCCATACAGTGTGCCTCCGCCGATTCAAGGTGCAGCTGCGGTCCCGGTGCAAAATTTAAGGTTTGTGGAAAACTTCCAATTCTGTTGTTATCGAAAAAACACACACACAAACACACACACGCAAACATTTCCCTCTTTCTGTTTCCTGCTTTATCTTTATTTACCTGCTCTCTATCCAAATTTTTACTTTCTGTCTAACATCAAACAAGTGGAAATTATCTAATCATAAATTTCAAAACTTGGTTCGGGAAAGTTACAGGCAAGTTTTTATTACCTACCAAAGACGATCGTGTTCCGCCACCCACACCTGTAGAAGAACGAGGGATACTGAAAAAAAAAACAGCCCACAGAAGAATTGTAGACGGTTGATGGTGGAAATGGAACCTTCCACGGTGATGAAGCAAGGACAGATGAGATATTTTTTCTTATTTTTTTAAGAGATGTACGTTTCCTTGTTGTATCTGTATATACCTACACTTCTATACATATATATGTACATATTTTTTTAGTTTGTTCTCGGTATTTATGTTTGCTGATCGCTCCACTATTCTACACCCAAACGAGCGGAGCGTCGTGATGCTTAAAACGAAATTCAGTCCATGCTTAAGAGGAAAATGACCTATACCTTAGGAATTGGCAGAAAATGTTCCAATGGAATCTTTTTCAAGGTTTTCCTCCGACAGTATGGTCCGCTTTCGCACCGCTCGCCAGGGTGCACTATGCCCTTTCTTTTGGATTTCGCCTTTTCTGCCCTTTGGATGTTTCGTTGCGCTGCTGTTTAAATGAGGTTCCAATTTTTTCTTTCTCTCTCTCTCTATCTCTATTGCTTGGCCCTACTCGGAGGGGTCGAAAATAGCCATTTTTTTAAATTTAGCCTCGTTCATAATTTGCACACCTATATGACGTTTGCTCTCCGAACAGCCGTAATACTTCTCATTTTTCTTGCCCCAACAACACTTATAATCCATTTTTTGCACTCAACCTTCATGGGTATTTCTCTTCTGCTATTTTCGATCACTGCACAGTCTTCGGGGCATTCAGCAGGTACTTAGTCGGTGGTGGAAGGAATATTTTTAGCCGATTCGGTTGTCCTTGCTGTTTGATTTCGGTTTCGGAAAGTGATTTTAGTTGGGATTGACTTGGGGCAGTGCTATTTTTCCCGGTAGATCAGTTTACAAAGTATGTTCCCTTCTTTGTAATTAGCTCGGTATTTGTGTAGGTACGAGTATAACCCAGGTCGAAACGTTTCAATCTCCCATAACGCTGTCAAAAACCAAAGCTGACAGATTGACATCTTACGTTAGCACTACACGACATACTGTAGACCGCAAAATAGTCAGTTGCAAGTCAAACCGTAGCACAGATTTTTGTTCTCAACCTCATAATAGCTGACTGTTGGTCATAGTGATCCGATAATAGCGTGCTTTCATGTACATATATTATATTATTACACAAGTATGTAGACCAATGTTGCTACTGCCATTACTCGCCCCGGCCGGAGGTAGGGGCTGACGACCGGAGCGCTCTGTTGGCTGAGTTCATTAAAGTTGATGAATCGACTGTTTAGTTTTGCCATTTTCAGCCCGTAGTATACTTTGTATGTGCGCTCTCAGAGAGTCACTTTTGCATTCGTATTATTTCATTTTAGCAGCAGTAGCTAGCATGATAATCGCATTAGGATCTAAGGTTAAGGGGCTTGTACGCAAGTTAATCCGGAGCAGTTTTTCATTAACCATTGTTGACCTCTCGGAGAGAGAAGGTGGTCAATTATTACTTGGCTGCAGTACGACTACCTACATGTTTTGGCTTTCGACATGATTTCACGGGTCGGTCTGTATTTGAGTGCTTCCGGATGGACCTAGGTCGATGGATGTTGATTGGGTGCGTGGCAATCAGCTTGCGTGCATTATATAATGGCTATAAGAGTGAGAATCATTTTTGAAATACATCTCAAGTTTGGCAACACGTAGCTTTTGTTTTTTGTGCGTTCCATAGGGTTTATTATATGTCTGTTTCCTTCAACTCCTGGATCAGATAGCGTTACGTATTTTAAGATTGAATACCTTAGTGTCATGTTGCCAAAAACGAGTTCTCAGTGTAAATGTGGCGATTTTTTTCGTCACTAAGCAGAATGCCACTAAGCCGGACGCTACTAGCTCGGATAGGTATGGGTATGATTAAGATTTTCGAGGATAAAAAATCCAGTCCAAACCAATCCAAAACGAAATATCAATTTTCTAAGCATACGCATTCCTCAAAATCGCTCAAGATCTTGCAAAAGCTGGTGAAGGATGCATACACATTGTACAGGGATATTTCGTATTGGAGTGGCTTGGACTGTTGTTTTTTAGTTTGGAAAATCTTAGAGTCGTGCCCCTAGTCGGAAGAAATTTCCGGGGAATGTTTGAATTAGCTTCTGAAGGAAGCCGAAAAAACTTCCAGAGAAAGAAGAAACAAGCTCTTCTGAAGGAAGTTTAAGGAAAGTTCTAAGAAAAGTCGGAAAATATCCGGGGATCTTCCGAGACAAAGAATGAGAAACAGCTAGGGAAAATTCAAAGAAACTTTCGGAAAATATCGAATGACATATCCAGAGCCAGAAAGGTTTTGGAAACCGGAAGTAAATTCCATGAGTAGCCTAGGAAAAGCTAGAAGAAGCTTGGAAAAACCTTCCAATAGAAGTCGAAAAAAAACCTCCGGTAGAAGCTTATGAAGAAACGGAAGACGAAATAAACTTCTGGGCAGGCTTGTAATTGCTCATTACAGCTAAAATGCTATTTTTCGGTACTATGAAACAATGGGATACTATAATGATAATTTGTATATGTAAGATGCAAGAAGAGGTGGTGAAGTATGTATATGACATAAAAAATTTGTCAATTTTGCTTTCAGAAGGTTGCAACTAGCGATTTTATGATCGCTGATTGCTCGCTCATCGCGTTGCTCATCTTTACAGCTAATCGCTAGTTGTGACCTTCTGAAAGCAAAATTGACACATTTTTTATATCATATACAAACTTTACCACCTCTTCTTGCATCTTACAAATAAAAATTATCATTATAGTATCCCATTGTTTCGTAATACCGAAAAATAGCATTTTAGCTGTAATGAGCAATTGTAAGCCTGCTTCTGGGAGGATTTGATGATACTTCCGGTAGAAGATTAAATGGATTTCCTGGAAAAGATGGAAGAAACTTCCTGGAGACGCTGGAAAAAAACTTCTTGAGGTAGTTTTAAAGAAATTTCTAAAGAAAGTCGGAAGCTTCTTCCGAAAAAAGCTAGAAGGTTTTCGGAACAGTCTAAAGAAACTTCTAAGAGAAGTTGGGCTGCAAATTCCGGAAGAGAGAAGCCAGAAGAACGTTTCGAGCGAAGCCAGATGAAGCTCCCGAGGAAAATCTAAATAACTTACCGGGAGGAATTGGAAAAATACTTACGGACTAAAGTGGAAGACAATTTCAGGGGATTTTTTAAAGCAACTTCTAAGGAAGGATTAAAAAAAAACTCCAGAAAGTTCAAAATAACGTTCTGATGGACTGTTTTGGTCACATGAAAGACATAAGTATTTCCCGATTCCGAGGAATTTACCGAGATGAGCTAATCGCTGTTTCTCGAGTTCTGGGCGTGGAAATGGAAACACTATTCGAAAAAGTATCTTATTTAGTATTTTAGGGAAACGCGCGTTTTCGTATGCCTAATACATTCTCAACAAACAATTTGAGCTGATTAAAAGCTGAATAAGCTATTTTTTAGCTGAAGCAGCATATTTTTGCCTAAATAAGTCCTTATTCAGCTTTCGATGTTAGTTGGGTTGCTTTTAACACATTTGGAAACCCTTCCCCCCTTAGAGCGCGACGGATATAAAGGATGCTTTTTTAGATGAATTATTTTTTGAGCATATCCAGAACGATAAAAGTCTATAATTAATTATCTATACAAGAACGATTCATCTGTTACCTCCTAAAATGGCCCTAAAGCGAAACCGAAACTTCTGAGAGGAGAAATAAACTGACGGCTTAATATGGATCCGAGCATATAATCTGCTATAAGATATTATTGGGGCCTCCCTTAGCTCAGTCGGTAAAGGTGAAGCTACAAAGCAAGACCATGCTGGAGATGGCTGGGTTCGATTCCCGGTCCGGTCTAGGAATTTTTCGGGTTGGAAAATTTCTCGATTTCCCTGGGCATAGAGTATTATAGTACTTGCCACACAATTATAATAATGCAAAAATGGTACAGGCATCGAAAGCTCTCAATTAACAACTGTGGAAGTGCATCTAGAACACTAAGTTGAGAGCACGTAATAAGCTCATATGCGATAAGATAAGCTTGAAATGCGAAAAAGAAGAATAAGAAGAAGAGGAGGAGGACATTCTTGTGGTAACATTTCTGTACATTTGGAAAAATCCTAGGAATATGTCAGAAATGTATTTATAAACAACGGTTAGGGGAGGGTATTTAAGAAGAAGTGTAAGAACAAGTGGCGCCGGTGTTGTAGTGGTAAGCGTGACTGCTTCTCACCCAAAGGGCTGAGGCATAAAATCTCTGATCACGCCTTCCTTCGGAAGGGAAGTAAAGCTGTTGGACCCCGGTTCATGAGTTGATAGGTCGATAGGTAGGGTCCAGGTGTGAGAGTTGCATTCCTGGCGTCGGTAGCATTGGTACTCAGTAAGGAAGACAAGATCGACGGAAAACAAATCAAGTAAAAAAAAGGTAAGAACAATCATAGGTGAATTACACTTCTTCTTGAGTGGATTTTGTGAAACAAAAAAAAAAGTTCATTCAATTCACTAGTGCAGTAAGGGTAGACTATAGAGAGTCAACCCATGTCTTACGTCGGCTTATCAAACTGATTTTCAGAATTGGAACCTCTAATTGCGGCTATTTGGCTGATAAGCCGAGATTAGACATATTTTATTTTCTATATACTAGCTTAAAATCACTAGCAATTCATTTGCTGTTCTTATCTTCCTCCTTCTATAAATAACACTTTGAAATTTTCCGAAGCATCAACGATTCAACGGTTTTAAATAGGCTGTATAGCACAAGATTGTTTACGATTGAA